CTGACAATGTCCAGGTGCCTGAACAGGCTATGGTATCCACAGTCAGTCAGTAAGTCTAACAAACCACCGATACCGGTTAAGCCGAAGCATCTCCTGAAGGCTAGGTCAGACACATGCCAGGTCCAGAAACCAGCAAGCCAGGTCCAGAAACCAGCAAGCCAGGTAACTCGACAGGACTTGATAGATGAGTTTGCTGATGTCTTTGGTCCCTTAGAAAACCCTGTGAAGGGGGAAAAATTCAAGATTGTTCTGGAAGAAAAAGCGGTGCCGTTCAAAGCCACCAGATCCTATGGTGTGTCATACCCACTGATGCCTAAATTAGAGAAAGAACTAGAACACCTCCAGAAGGCTAGGATTATAACACCTCAGACTAAAGCAACAGAGTGGGTGCTTTCTATAGTGGTGGAGCAAAAGAAGAACTCGGACGACATCCGCCTATGTGTCAACTTCAAGCCACTGAATAAGTTCTCAAAGCGCGAGGTCTACGAGTCACCATCTGTCCTGGAGACAGTTCAGAACATTCAAGCCAACGAAGCATCTCTGTTCACGAAATTTGATGCCCAGAAAGGGTACCACCAACTCGAAATAGCAGAGGAATCGAAGGACTTGACTACGTTCATAACGCCGTTTGGACGTTTTAGGTATGAGAGGGCGCCGTTCGGAATAAACAGTATTTCAGAGCACTACAACCGCCGCATGTCAGAATCCCTTCATGGCCTAGACAACATCGTAAGAGTGGTAGATGATTCCCTTGTGTATAGGAAGAATGATGAAGACCACCTGATACATGTCCGAGCGTTCCTGGAGCGATGTCGTGAGAGGAACATTAGACTGAACGAAAAGAAATTTGTATTCAGGAAGCAAGAGATAGAGTTTGCGGGTGTGATCGTGAGTAAAGATGGATTTACCATCAGCCCTTCGCTGATAGAGTCACTCAGAGAATTTCCTGAGCCTAGAAGCATAACAGACATGTGATCCTTTCATGGTTTAGCCAACCAAATGTCGCCATATGATCCAGAATTGGCAGGCAAACTGGCCCCCCTGCGACACCTACTCAAAAAATCTGACAAAAAGTTTGAGATGTCAGAGGATGAAAAGCAGGCTTTCCGCGAAGTCAAAGAAATGCTAGTACAAC